CTGGATAAACAGTCAGTGTATGACAGCTTCTGGCAGACAACCACAACGCTTCTGCCTGCTAACATCTTAAGTTAGCTAATGTTAGCAAAACAACATCTAATCATTCCACAGTAAAAACTTACATTAATTAAGTAACATTATATTAATATCAGGTAATACATTTACCAAAGATTTATTGATTATAAACTGATATGTGATCGTCCTCCAGGACCGTTCCGCCCCTGCCTCCATCTGCTCGGCAGCTGGTTGATCCGTGGAGGTGTGTGGCTCATTGCAGTGCTCTCATTGGTCAGCAACAGCCTGGTCGTCCTGTCGGTCTTCTTCTCCCCCGCCACCTCAGTGACTCCACCCAAGCTGCTGATTGGCCTGCTGGCCCTGGTGAATGGCCTGATGGGAGTGTGGAGCGGCTGGTTGGCGGCGGTGGATGCGTGGACATATGGCAGCTTCTGGAGGTACAAAACCTAATCAGAGGTTGACTTTGGTATTGTGGGAAAATGTGCATTCTCAGTACTCTGGGAATACTGTTGTTTCTGGTGATTCTGTGGATTCAGGATAACTGGGAACTCTAGAGGTTATGGGGACTGATATTGTGCTATGACTTCTGGAGACTGCACTTTCTGGGAATTCTGTGGTTTGTGTGGAGCACTGGAGACCAAAGAGGTTATGGGGATACTTGGGATTGTAGGAACTCTGGGAATACTATGGTGTGTGGTGACTCTGTGAATTTAGGATCACTGGAAACCCAAAAGGTTATGGGGACTCTTGGGATTGTGGGAACTCTGTGTACTTGGAATCACTAGGAACTCTTGAGGTTATAGGGGCTACAAAACCGAATCAAAGGGACACTGGAAACTCTAGGGATTGTGGGGACATTGCTATGCATTGTGGGCACTCTGGGAATAATGTGGATTTGTGGGGAGCAATGAAAACCTAAGAAGTTATGGGGACTTTTGTGGAACTCTTTGGGTATCCTGAGAACTGAAGTGACTCTGGAACTGGTAATTCTAGCTAAGCTGGAAACAATGGGGTATAATGGAGTTTTTTCCATCTTTCTAAATAAGATCCATCCAACGTATAAAAGTTAAATCTCATAATTAATCCATTTTGATTTGTAATGATCACATACTCCATCTCTTCATGTTGCAGGTACGGGGCGAGGTGGGAGAGCAGCTTTCTGTGTCGACTCAGCGGCTTCCTGTGCGTATTTGCGTCGCAGACCGGCCTCTTCCTGCTCACCATCGCAGCTCTGGAGCGATGCCTTGCCGCCGCCGCCACACGCCGCCACAAAACTGGCGGACACAACGGTGTGAAAAACGCATAAACACACACACATCGAGAAAGTATTCTCCAGGTCGTGTCTGATTTCCCTCTCCTCTCCTTCCAGGTCGCTCCTCGTCGCCACTCTCCATTCGTCTCGCTGTCTGCGTGTGTTTCCTGTTGGGCCTGGCCATCACGCTGCCCCCCCTTGTGGTCGGACACAGTAGTACCTCCCTCTGCTTGCCGCTGCCTTCTTCTTCCTCCTCATCCTCCCTGGCCTTCTCCGTGTCTCTGGTGCTCCTCGACTCATTATGTTTCCTCGTCATGACGGTCGCCTACACTCGCCTCTACTGTCGGGCCAACAAAGCTCCGCCCGCCGCTGAAGAGGAGGTGGCGTTAACTCGACATGTAGCCTGGCTGCTCTTCTCAGACTGCCTCCTCTACCTCCCCGTCGCCTTCCTCTCCTTCTCCTCCCTGCTGCGCCTCCCTGCTGCCGGGCCAGAGGCAGCAAAGGGGGTGCTTCTGCTCGTGGCGCCGCTGCCAGCCTGCGTCAACCCGCTGTTGTACATCCTCTTCAACCCACTCGCCCGGCAGGAGCTGGCAGCGCTCGCCAAACGCACCTGCAGGGCTGTAAGGCTGCCCAGACTCGGCAGGGGAGGAGGAGGAGGAGGACCAGGAGGAAGGTCGAGGCCGAACGAGATGGATTCGATGTACGACGAGGACGCGGAGAAACAGTCGTGTGACTCAACGCAGGCGCTGGTGGCAGTCGGAGGCACGAAGGAGGAAGAGGCAGAGGAGAGAGGACGAGGAAGGAGCGAGATGCAACATTCGGTGGCGTTTGTTGTTCCTCATCACTAGACTGACACAGAGACACACATACAGGGTCGGAAGTTCTCACCTGCCAAATGTCTGAATTCGCTCATGAACTCATTGACTAGATTCAGTCTGTGGTGTCTTTCTTGCGCCTTTATTTTGTAGGAAACTGTGAAAAGGCGACAGGAAGTTAGAGGAGATGCAGAGGTGATGACTTTAAACAAAGGTATCCAACCAGACTCCAACGTACCCACCAGGAGACCCCCGTTCTTTGGTCTCTTTTATCCAAGATGGCTGCAAAAGAGAACAAAATTAAAGTATCAACAGAAATGATTTTTGATGATCGGCTTAAAGGTCCAGTGTGTAGGATTTAGTGGCATCTAACGGTAAACTAATGGCCTCCAATAGGGGTCGGAAAAACTTCACTTCTTTATTTCAAGGGGTGTAAGAAAACAGCATTTCATTCATTTCTGTTTCTGTTAAGAAAACTAAATGATTTTTATTATTATTTAAAATATACAGTTTAAAAAGCCTTCATTGTGTAATAAACAGCCTCGTCTTGCGTTAGAAAAGTTAAAACAGCCAAAGAGCGAATAGGACAATGAGAAGAAAACAAAAGCCTAGTAATTACATATGCTTGTTATAAATTTAAATTTAAATACATAATACAGACTTAGAAATGTTTAAAACGTTCAGGAAATATCAGTAAAACTTATCTCTGATGGTCTGATTGAGAAATAATCTGCTTAAAATTCATCCAAATCGCTCGTTTTACACAAACTGTTTCTGTTATACATTAAATATGATAAGAAATATCCATAAAATACGTCACTTATGTCACTGATAGTAAAAGTAAAAACATTAGGAACCTGTGATCCAAGGTAACAAAAACACATGTTCAGGTGATTATACACTAATGAAAACATACCTATATATATATTACATTTCTGACAATAGATCCTCTTTAATGTTACACAATGGACCTTTGAATGAAATATTAATTGATGAATTTACCATTTACGTACAACATTTATTATTATCTTCTGTGTCTGTCCTATTGGTTCCTTCAGGTAATTACGAGCCCATCAATTAACACAAATTCAGCCGATTGCAATTCTGTCTGATCACCATAACGTTTTCCACCAATCATCGTAGTTTACAGTCATATGTCTCCAAACTTATATCTTTGTTTCCTGCTGTGACAATGTGGACATGTGACACAAAACGTCTCACATTTACTCTCCAAACAGTGCGATTTTATTCTAACTGGAACAAGTTGCAAATTTTCCCTTCCGTGCCAAAAAATGCCCCAAAGCTGCCTTGAAATGAGACATTTTAGGTCGTGACAATCCCCCAAAAAACCTGTAAAATCCTGGAGGAAATGTCTAAATCTAGCTTTAAGACTCGGAGCGGTGGCCCAGAAACAAAACTTTACACTGGGGTCTCTTAACGGGTTAATCTGGCTTCACAGTGATCATTACCCAATGAGAAAAACCTGTCGCACACTTTGGTCCAACTGTTTCATGACATTCACTGAGGAACTCTTGATGTTAATGACCACACGACCACTCCTCTAGCGCCCCCCTCAGGACAAACCTTACATTTAACTTCATCATTCCAACTCTTTCATATTGTGGCTGTAACAAACACTGCGGCCTGCAGGGGGCGCCACCAGTCGGCAGGACTTTTGGCAGGTGAGTAAAAGACCTTTTGGACACAGATACAGACTGATGGGACTGTGTGGTAGCGAATGTAGCAGACATGACGGTTCTCACCATGTACAGTACGCACCGCCAGTTTGAGTCCAACTCTCTGTTGATCTTTGTTTGTTTTGTCTTAAGAAGAACTTAATGCTCAGTGTGCGACTTCAACATCTTCCTCTCTCTGATTGGTCAGTCCAAGGCACACACAGAGAGGCATTATATCGCAGCAGCTTTTATTTTGAAATATGACACGATTTACAGCATTGTGTTACCAAATGCTGTTGAGCATTGTGTGTGTGTGTGTGTGTGTGTGTGTGTGTGTGTGTTAGCGAGTGTGTGCTGTGCAGCTCACCGTGTGAGTTTCTTGAGGATCACAGAGTCGATCCACAAAACT